ATATACAGTTGTGATGATTATATAATATACATACATGTATACATAATAATTGAATTTGGTATTTGTCATTATTTGCCGGGTATATACGAATTTATCCCTTTATCAAACTGCTATTTTCCGGGTGCTTTTTTTGTACGGCATGGACATTATAATGGAATACTCGTTTATTAAAGTAATTTTAACAAATTTTGGGGTTTTTTTTGGTCAAAAGTTTATGTTATACAAGATTATAAATATTAGACTCTTTTTTTCATTTGTCATTAAAAAAAAGAAAAACACCAGAAAACAAGTAAAATACGAAGCCAACCAATATCCAAATTATACATGTAATTTAAAAAAACAAAAAGCTATCTTACATGTTTTGTTTTGTTTTTTTTTTCCGGGGGGGGGGGGGGGGGGGGTTGATCATTTCTATTTCAATTATCTTGAATATCTAAAATACACAATACATGGTATTTGTTGCTAAGGTTTACGTATAAATTTACGTATTTACTCACGGATTTGACAACTATTTTTTGACATTTTATTTGAAAATCGTCGTTTTTTAGCGACTCATTATGCAGCAACGAATGGAGACTTAAGGAGCCTTTTATGTTTTATGCTGTATAAAAAATATTCTTTAACGGTTATAAATTTCGATTTTTTTTTACTTGCTAACTAACGAAGTATTAATAAAAGCTTGTTTCTAGTATTTTTACAGACCTCGAATAAAAATTCCTGTCATTACGGAACATAATCTTTATAGATACAATTTACCAAAAAGAAGTAAAAAATACATTACAGTTTTTATGTAAAAGTTATTTTCGATCATCAATATTTCTTTCCATTTGAAAACTTGCTATATTTTTATGATTGCAATAGAGTTTATTTGATATTAAAACATGAACAAATGTACATTGCAAATTGAATGATTTTCAATGAATTTTAATCTCATAAAACTACATGTCATAGTTACAGTTAAAATTGATTTTTACAATAACAAAGTCTAATTGTTAAGTCTGATTTAATCAATTGAGTATACATTTTTAAAGGTTAAAAGTTGTAGAATTTTACCGAAAACCGTTTAAGCTAGGTAAATTTGTACGCAATTCCGAAAAAAACATATTTCATTTTAGTTGTAATTTATGCTCATTTAACCCTCACATATATTTTATTTTGGACAATTGAACAAAGCAAACAAATTTTCACGGAAGGACATGAATATAACTGAGAAATCAGGGTATAACAAACAAGCTCGAATAAAGGGAGACAAACCTTATTAATCTGCACAAACAATTTTATGTCAAAATTGATAGATTTACTGGTACTGGATGCTACTGAAAATTCCCAATCAACTATTTTATCGATGAACTGACGTGTACTAAAATGTACTAAACAGTACTGGATTTAACGCTACGGGTTTTTTCTTAATTAACTAAACCAGTACTGACTGGTACTTAATCGATCGCGATAGTTAGTGTACTGAACATGTACTGAACAACTGAAAAAGATCTTGACATTTTTCCTTGCGGTAAATTCAGGCATTTAAGAGTTGTTTAGTTTAAAATGACCGTTTCAGTAGTAAAACCCGTTACTAGTGATAACCAATTATAAACTTTTCATTTCTATGTAGCAACATTATAGCAACACCTGCATATCTATACTATTAAAGGAGGAGACCGATTTCACTGAGCCTCAACTCCTCTGAAACAATAACAAGTCGGAATATTTATGATATGACGTATAAATGTAGGGTTTTGCATTTCCTTAATTTGTCTTTGCATGCTCAGTCGACGTACTTCCCGCAAAATTAAATAAAACTCTTTATTTAAACACTTGCCCAATTGTAACGCGATTTCGCGGCATCTTCTTGCGGAGTATATATCTCCAAGTTGATACAATATTCCAGAGCTTGCATTTACTTTCACGATTGTCGTGATAGTGCGTAACTGCTCACAATAAAGATATTAAATAAAGGCAACTATAGTATACCGCTATTCAATAGTAATCAATCGATTTACTAGTAACTGAAACAAATCCGGGTCACAAACCAAAACCGTGGGAAACGCATCAACTATAAGAGGAACACAACGGAAAAACAGAAACACTGAACTGCTACAAAAACAAAAATTAACATACAAAGAAACAGATTATTCGATACCAACTGCCATATGCCTGACTTGGTACAGGACATTTAAAGAAAAATGGTGGTTTGAACATGGTTTTAAACAAGAGTTCAAATGCAAAGTTGAAATCATCCATTTGAAAATTTTATGGACGCCACTACGAGTTGGTTGACAGTTATGAAATATCTGTTTTGCCAGATGACGACTGATAAGTTCCAATCGACGTAACCAAAATACCGTCATTTCTGCCTTGAATGTCACCTACCGAATAAGGCTTGGCACCGAGGTAGGAATTACACGAGCCACAAGACGGGTGTCACATGTGGAACATGATCTGCTCACCCTTTAGGAGCCCCTGAGTTCACCCCAAATATTTTTTTTTTGGGGGGGGGGGGGGGGTTTGTGGTACTCAATCTGTAGTTTTATATGTTGTGTTTTGTATACTGTTGCTTGTCTTGTTCGTTTTTTGCCCGGCTTTGTCAGTTCGTTTTCAATTATGAGTTTGATGTCCCTTTAATATATTTCGCCACTCTTCAAGTAGTAAAAGTTTTAAAAATTGTAGATCATTGTAGTTAAATGTATCATGATAACGATTTGGTTCTATATATATATATCACCGTGAGCAAATTAAGTTATTTTCGCGGATATTTGTCTTATTGCGTTAATCTTCTTCACTTTACTTTGAGGCGATTTTTTTGCGAATTTTCATTACTGCAAGTTGATATCTTTAAAGTGAAATAATACCAAAGGGACAATCAACATCTCAAACCATGAGTCAAATAAACCTAATTAAAACCATGAACAAAATAAAATTAAAGTCCAAGAGACGAACAACAGTCCACAAAACAGAGCACAGCATGAAAACGATCACTGCCTAAAACAGCGAATGATTTTATGAGGTCAGGAAGGTATTCAACTTTTTCATTTTTTTATTTCACAACTGCTTATAGTGTTTTACATACACAATGACCTGCATTTGTATTTTAAAAGCTTATGTTGAAAATACTCAATCCTATCTCTATACCTTTGAAATTTGGTTTGTGAGAATAAAGATATATAGAAGCATCTTTTATTCAAATAATTAAAGAGATTAAACTTCTAAACACATTTAATATGTCTAACACGATTTTAAACTAAATAAGAAGCAACAGCATTATATGTAGTTCGTTTACATCCCGCTTTAGACAACCAAGTTTTTCTAAACAAGGTTACTTATTTCAATGTTGCCTACGATTTAGTCGCAAAGTCATGTTTGCATTTAAACATGATTAAAAAAAGTAAATAAGTTTGACTTCGTAAAAATCATATTCTTACCTCCATTAGCTCGTATATATTCTTTTCGAACTTTAAATATCTCTTCTTTTATTATGGAAAATCATTCTCCTCCCTGATATTGACAATAAGCGATGTGCTATCTTAACATAGAATAACAAAATGATCGCTATTTGCAGATGGCAGATTTTTGGGCAACTGCAAACACTTCAATAGAAGGCTGTTCTATGAACAATAATTAATAATTGCATCTTAAAATTACAAAACAAATATTCCTTGACCTAAAATATATTACTTATCTATTTTTTTAGCATACAAATATCGATCCCCCAAGATATATTTTGCTTTTGGAACATTTTTAATTTTTTTAGGATTTGTGATGAATTTCTATTTTCGGGAAATATTGCGCATATTACCTCTTATTTTTTGTTTGATTTGGAAATAATGTATTATGTTATATAAAGTTCATATGATCTTTTGAAAAATTTTATGGTACAAGAATTAGAAAATGGCTTTTTGTTTAGTAATCGCAAAAATTGGAATGTTTTTTCATGACCTTTGACCTTGATTTAACAGAAAATGCACCGTGCGATTTTTTTACTACCGGACAAAACAGAAAGTACAGATTATTAGCTTTCGAATGATATATAATACAGCCGTGTGTTAGGTGGGTGCATTAAAGTCGTTAACTAAGCGTCTTTTTGAAATAAGTCACTCGCCTATAAGATGACTTTCATTTCCGCGCTTGCACGGGTCAACTTTTAGTTGATCAAACTAGTATTTGCGTAAATACGATTTTGAGGGTGAATTTTATTATTTCATTGTTTTGTTAATCTATTAGACCTATATACATCACAATGCAATTCTCCTTGCACCTTTAGTAAATTGCTAACGATAAAATGTGTAAATTACAGACATTTGTTAAAACATATTCATAGGAAGATTAATTCTAAATTTTATTGGTACATAATATTATATAATCTATAGATCTAATTGCCTGCAGCATATTGAAATCATAAAAGTTAAAGCATAACATTTTGGAGGTGGATACTGCCATATAACAATTAACCATAACGATAATCTTCTCTGCCTCAAATTAACTAATCAAATTACCTTTACCATCCATTTCTAGGTGTAAGTCAAGACAAAAACAGACTATCCTTTATTTTAACTTAAAAATGATGGATGGGATTATCATAGTAAACAAACTTTGCGAAAGGTCCCGGGTACTGTTAGATAGTTGTCTCATTGCCAATCATACCACATCTCCTTATTGTTATATATAAGTTATTTAGTGAAAGATAAAAGAAAAATACTAGATACTTTTCCTTATTTTTTACATGCCCTTGAAGTCTACCTTATGCAAATAAAGGCATTACTATTTTGGACAGTGTAATTATTTTCAACTTTTCAAGATTGTTTATGCAAGAAACATTTTGTCTTATGTGGAAAGCTCAATTGTTAATTTTCTCTTTACTTCAATCTACTGTATTTTTTTTATTTTGTTTTGATTTGTTTTGTTTTGTTTTTTTTAACGTTAAACATTGTTAATAATAGCCAATGACAATCACAACAATACTAAGCTGTCAGGTAAAATCAGATTATATCAGTAGAGGTTTTATTTTAAACTTTACATCTCTTACTTTCTATCTTTGTAATTGGTAATGAATATGAATACTTTACATAGAACATCCATGTAGCGATTCTATCTCCAGATCCTTTGACGAAGTTAGCATCAGACTGTACTGGCTGCCGCCATATAGGATTATGCTGAAATAAATATTGATGTAAATGACAATTTCTTATTATGATACATCAAATAATTAACCTTTGCGTCAATTTAGCTGAAAATAACTATGTTCCAAAGTCCGGAAAATGTGATTCTTTTTAAAACAATTCCATAATAGCAAGTGCATAACTTCAACATGTGAAAAATCTTTCTGTGAACTCTTAGGGATCTTGGCTGAAAACTGTATAGAAAAAGTTGAAAACTTGTAACCTCTTTCAAATATTTTGCTGACAAATTAATAAAATCCCAAGTTGGCAAAATTAGAAAAAAATCCTCAAACAATTTTATAATAACAGGTGCACAGCTTCAACATATGTGCAGTCTCTCTGTGGCGTTTCTCTTGAATCTGAGATGAAAACTGTAGGAGTTGATAACACTGAAAAGTTAGATATCAACTATTTCCCGCCTGCCTTCCCATCCGCCATTCTACCCGAAATCACCATACTATACGCTTGGTTTTGGACTTCATCTAACCCGGACAAAAATGGTCAGAGACAGTACATTAAGATACGATCTTGTGCAATGCCCAAAAGAAACTTGTTCAGAATATTTCAGGCTTGCTTCATGCTATAAATAAGCAAATTGATGTTTATCTTAAATAATCAGAGTAACAACAAGAGTATAACAATACCCTTTATCAAAAAATATAAAAATAAGAAGATGTGGTATGATTGCCAATGAGATATAAGTCTATTAAACTAAACAGACAGATTTAAAGGACAATTTCTTCAATTGTTACCCTTAAACAAAGAATTGCATTTTATTATCAACAGAAATTATCTTGCTCAGAATTATGAACAAAGTGATACTACACATACAACGCCTTCGGCAGCTGCGAAAATGACCTTACAAACGCCAATAATGGTGATGATAACAATATATTATAACATAATATATTAACCAATTCCAAATTTAAGACTAAACTTTCTCAGTCAGGATGTTATTTCCCCATTAAAATTGAGAGTGGAAACGGGGAATGCGTCGAAGAGACAACAAACCGACCAAAGAGCAAGAAACAGCCCAAGGTCACCAATGGGTCTTCAACAAGAAAATCCCACACCCGGAGTCGGGCTTCAGCTGGCCCCTAAACAATAATGTATACAAATCACAATGCATACATTTGATGAGAGTGATAGTGAAGATGAAATAATTCCGATGAAATTAGTAGCACTTCGCCGAAGGACTATAAATCAAAAAGCAAAGAAAACTAGCAATAAGACCAGCTCGCCATCATTTGGTGTAATTTCAGCACTAAGAAGAATTGAAGGTTTACTACTATCTACTGCTGAAGATGTCTCAAATTTAAATGACACTGTTAACTGTCACATTGATTCTACAAACAAACAATTTCAAGAGATAAATGATAAATTTGTTTCCTTGGCAAATACAGTAAAAGTGCAAACTAGTTCAGCATCAGCCTCTGTTGAAGAAGTGATAGCACAAACTCAGGTCATTAAAGCGACATTAACTCTAATAACAAGGCTTTCGTTGATAAATCTAAGAGTCTATGGGATAAAGTTAATGCAGTATTCCAAGAAGTAAAATAGATAAAGACATCTAACGAAAATATTCATATGCAAGATAAAGTTGCCCAAATAAATAACAGTACTCAAAATAGCAAAAGAGAAGAAAAGAATTTAACCACAACAAAAATGACACCTGGGACATAACATACAGTAAGTGAAAAGTAGATTACAATGTAGAACACGCCAATCATCTACACCAAACACACCAGGACCTTTTTTTGCGACAGAGGTGTGAACAATTACTAAACGTTGAGTATGATGAGAGGAAATTCGAACGTCCCAAATTTCCATTATTTTAGCCAAACAATGACAAGAAAAACTTACTTCTGATAGGAAGTTCAACGCTTAAAAGAACGTCGGCCAGGAAAATGACAACTGATAACATCACAACAAACGTAAAAATCATCCGTGGAGGAAGAGTAAGAGATATTGAGGATTGACTTATTGAATATATACCAGAAGGCAAACTCAATTACGTTGATGTTATAGTTGTGCATGTTGGAACCAACACTGTGTCTGATAGAGATTCGGTTCACACCATTATAAATGATTATAGAAATCTTATTTACACCGTGAAACAGAGCTTACCGGAAAACACAACTGACTATTTCATCCATACTACATAGACCTACAGATTACAAATCAAACCAAATTATTTCTGAGGTCAACCAGCAATTACTGAGAGTTGAAGATAATCAAATAAAAATACTGAATAACACGTTAGACTTTTTGTGCGGCAATCGACCTAATCAATCGCTATTTAAGGACCATGTACATACCAATGTAGACGGTGCTAAAGTACTAAGCCATAACATACTTTCTTGTGTTCACATGATACTAAGAATGTATTATTTTTATTCGGAGAGGATAACAGGGAGGAGATATGTGCCATATAAGACAACCAATCAACATCAACATTCAATTCGTCCAAACGCCTGGAAACTTTTGAATACTGCTCAAGTCAAACACACGATTGTATTTTATTTCATTCTATGGTAATTCTCATATTATATGTGTGTATTGCTATTTTTCTTCTTGAGCACAGATCAGAATGCTCCAAGTATACCCATATAAATCCTTTTATATTCCCACATAAATCCCTTAACATTTGTCACTTGAATATAAACCTTATTTTACCAAAATTTGCTGAAATACAATACTTAATTTCGGAATCCAAATCAAACACGCATATTTTATGTTTGGGTGAAACATTTTTGTCGAATAGTGTCAAGAATAAAGAAATTATTATTCTAGGGTACAATTTGCACAGAAAGGAAAACATTGGTAAATCTGGGGATGGGCTTTTAATTCATACTTCAAAACAAATAAATACGCTTAGACGGGATGATTTGGAAATTCAAGAAATTGAGTCAATGTGGATAAAATTTATTAATGTTCATCAAAAGCCTATTTTACTAGGTTATATATATAAACCGCCTAACAGTCATGCTGAATGGTTTACTAAGTTTGAAACCATGTTGTTAAAAGTTGACACTGAAGATAAGGAAACTATTATTTTGGAAGATTTTAATATTGATTTAATGTCAAGTAAAAACATCCTAAGTGGTAACACCTCATAGATATTTTCAACATGCGTCAGGTGGTTTCAAAACATGAAAGAGTTACAAAAACTTCATCCACCTTAATTGACCATGTTTATTGTAATGTGCCAGAAAATATTGATTATATTTCAGTTTCATAATATTCATTCAGTGATCACTATCCAGTTTGTATTTCTCATAAAAGAGGGTTAAGAAAGAAAAAAGCAAATTCATGATTAATAACTTATAGATCTACAAAATATTTCAACGAGACTGATTTTATTCACCATTTATCTCGGTGTCCCCTTATTATTGATGATCCTGATGAAGCGCTACTAAGTTTTATAAATATTTTTACTGAAGTGCTGAATCATCATGCTCCACTTATTAAAAAGCGAGTTAAACATGTTTATCAAAATGAGTGGATAAATGATGAAATTAAGGAGGGCATGAAACAACGTGATTATTATCACAAGAAAAAAGATACGTCTAATTATAAATTCTGGAGAAACAAGGTTTAATACCTTATAGAAAATTCAAAGCAAAAATTCTATACTTGATGTAATAGAACATGAAAAAGGAAACAGTAGTAAATTATGAAAACACTTGCATAATGTCAATGGTAGTGAAAAATCAGAAAATCAGTATACCCATCGTTATTCAAACTGGCTAAAGTTATACGAGTTTTTAAGAATAAAGATTCGAAAAATGATGTATTTAACTACGGACCTACTGCAATTTTACCATTACTATCTAAAATCCTTGAGCGACACGTAAAAACTCATTTGATGAATTTTCTACACAAATATAATCTGTTGTATGTCAAGCAATCAGGCCTTCGTATAAAACCATTCCTGTCGAACTGCTATGACGTCTTTGTTAGATAAATGGTTAAAAGCCATTGATGAAGGAAATTTAGTAGGGACAGTATTTTTGGATCTGTGTAAAGCTTTTGATCTTCTAAATCATTAACTGCTCCTTCAAAAATTAAAGTAGACATCAGGTCGTATCCATTTCAAATCCTTTTTCAAATGTATCTACATTAAAAGCAAGTGTACCTCAAGGGTCAGTTTTAGGTCCTATACTATTCCTAATATTTATTAATGATTTGCCTTTGTTTAATTCTTATCATAACACTGATCAATTTGCTGATGATAGCACTATTTCTGTGATGGGAAAAGTCAAAAAGTATATAAGTCAGGGACTCAATGTTTTATTAGAAAATATTTGTCATTGGTGTGATGAAAACAAAATGTTAGTAAATGTGTCAAAAACAAAGACAATGTGTATAGGTTTAAAACAAAAACTGTCTGTCATTTGCAATGACACATTAAATATATCCGTTAATGGCCAACATTTTAATGAAAGTCACTGTGAAAAAGTCCTTGATATTTTTGTTGACGCAACTCTGTCTTGGTATGATCAAATTAATCATATTATCAAAAAATTAATTCTTCGTAAGCGTTATTAACAAGAATCAAGAAATACTTGTTCAGTATGGGGAAACTGTAACAAGTTTTTAATTGACAGTTTACTAAAATTGCAAAAAAGGGCAGCTAGGATTATTTTAAACGAACACGATATTCATAAACCATCTATTGAACTATTTAGGGATTCTGGAATTATTCCCGTTACTAAGAGAATACTTAACCACAAGTCATTATTAATTTATAAATCAAAACATTGTGCCTACAAATAGTAGACAATGGTACAATACTCGACTTTCATCATCAGCCAATTTTATTGTCCCTAAATCAAACACAGAATTATACAAATCAAGTTTTTTTAGTGGTCCAAAAGTGTGGAATTCACTATCCAGTGAAATTAAAACATCAAAAACTGTATCTGCATTCAAATACTCTTACAAGTCATTATATTTTTAACAGTGTGAAATTTATAAGTTAAACCACAATG